TCTCTGTGGAAGGCTACTCGGCGTGTACTAAGCAAATTTGAGAAAATTCCTAGTCTGGAAGAGAATGGAGGATACATCATCAGTGACGCAGAAAAAGCTGAAGCATTTGCAGATTACTTTGAGAAAACGTTCTCAAACCCAGAATGCGAAAGAAGTCCGCATTCACCAAATGTTGATGTTGAAGATTATTTAAAATTGCCCCTAACAACTGTACAGTTTCCGATTAAATTCACAACCCCTAAAGAAATTCAAGAACTAATTAGGAGTCTCAAAGTAAAAAAAAGTCCAGGACATGACCTTATACCAGTTATTGCTTTAAAAAATTTTCCTAGAAAAGCTCTCGTTTACATTACGTCTATTTTTAATAGCTGTCTACGCACTGGATATTTTCCCGAAACGTGGAAGAAAGCTGAACTCGTAGTAATTCATAAGCATGGTAAAAACGCTAAACAAGTCAGTAGCTATAGACCGATAAGTTTATTACCCATAGTTGGAAAATTACTAGAGTCAGTCATAAAAAGACATCTTGCATCCTTTTTACAATGTAATAGCATTATTCCTGATTTTCAATTTGGTTTTCAGTATAGTCATTCCACTTCACACCAACTGGCAAGATTATCAGAATTCATAGTAAATGGATTTGAAATGAAAAAACATACTCTTGTCACGTTTTTAGACTTTCAACAAGCGTTTGATAAGGTTTGGCATTGTGGTCTATTGTACAAGCTAAAGAAAGTGGACACGCCCAAATATTTATATGACGTTCTGAGCTCATTCCTCAACGGCAGAACATTTACAGTTAGAATAAATAATATAAATTCAACCTTAAGACAAATCCATGCCGGCACCCCACAAGGTTCTGTTCTTTCTCCCATACTTTTTAACTTTTATGTTCACGACATTATCCAATCCACAAACACCTCCATAGCTATGTTTGCCGACGATACAGCTGTCTTTTCCCAACACAATGATATATTAATAGCCAGAAATACACTGCAGTCTTACCTAGTAAATCTAGAACAATATTTAAAAAAATGGATGATTTGTCTCAACACCGAAAAATGTACAGCAAAAATTTTTACTCTTAGACGTCCCTCAGACCCACCTGAACTGATTCTCAAAAATAAAGAACTAAAATGGAACCCAGCTAGTGAAGCAGTAAAATACCTCGGAGTTTATCTGGACCGCCGCCTTACGTGGAATTACCATATAAATAATAAACTGACCCAAACATACGCAAGGTTAGCAATGTTATATCCCATAGTAAATAGAAAATCTAGTTTAAAACCAGAGACAACTGTTCTTATTCATAAAACCATACTAAGACCCTTGCTAATGTACGGATGTGAAGTCTGGGGAGCCGCTTCAGCTACGAAAAGAAAAAAACTACAATCCTTTCAAAACAAGGTATTAAGAATTGCAGTAGATGCCCCCTGGTTCATAAGAAACGCTCAACTACATCGAGAACTAAAATTGGAAACAATAGATGAATTCATCAAAAAACGATTTAAAAAATTCCATACGCAGCTACCAGCAGTTAAAGGTGCAGTGGCCTACAACTTAGGAAACCCAACCTCATCTCGAAGACTGAAGCCCAGACTGATCCAAGACATCATGTTATGAACAATTAATAATTTTCTCTTTATTAATTGTAATTATTCAATAATTATAATGTATAAATAGTTAGGGGTGTCTTTTGCAAAGACTATACCCCACCAGAACAAATTGTTAAAAATCATCAAATTGTTACAACAACCATGTAAGGCCCACCAGGCCGATCTGGTAATAAATAAATTAAAAAAAGATCTCCACACAGCCATAGACCAACAGAAACTCACCATCCTTATTCTCCTTGATTTTTCCAAAGCTTTTGACTCAGAAAACCATACTATCCTCCTAACCAAACTTTAAAATATCTCCTTGTCATCTAGTGCCCTTAATTGGTTCCAATTCTTACTCACCGGTTGCTCGCAGTATGTTTTAGTCTCTATAATCCTCCATCAGAATCTCTACCCTTGTCCAGAGGTGTTCCACAAGGTTCCTCCTTATCTCCCACCCTCTTTTCCATCTATATCAATGACCTCCCTTCCTCTCTTCTGCACCGTCAATGCCACCTGTATGCCAACGACATTCAAATTTACCTTTCCTTCAACCTGGCTAATTCTTCTGAAGCCATCCTAAAACTCCAGGAAGATATCAATAGAATATGCGCTTGGGCAAACTTTAATGAGCTCACTTTAAATGCCAAGGAGACAAAAGCCATCCTGATCAGATCCTCCTCACTCCTCAAATTCATTCCTGTACTTCCAAATCTTCTCCTTAACAATTCATCTATATTCTTCCATACTACCGTTAGTTACTACAGTTTCTGAGTAATAATACCAATAATATTATTAACAATTAATCAGTAGTGTGTTTACTTCATACAGTGAATAGTATCAATAGTGAATATTGAATTAAAATATTTACAGCCGCTATGAAAGAAAAAGCTAGGTATTACTAATACAGTTTTAGATGGACTGTGATAAGAGAGTATGTTAGCTGTATACCTCCGCCACTGCTAGCACTCCCCACCACTATCCAATCCATTATTTCCATCGCTTCAAACATTCAACAACTCGTTATGGTACCATGTCCGTCATACAAGGCAGCTGCTACCAGGGATGATAAAACTACCAGTGTGCCACAATTGTAAAAATATTTACCATGGTAAATGTGCCAATATTTCAGAGACGGACTTGATAAGGAAAAAACAATGGTGTTGGTCCTGTGAGCCACTGATAAAGTCAGTAACGAAGCTATATAGAGGTAGTAGCATGAAGGAAATTTTCACGGTTATTTTAACTGAGTTAGGTAAAATAACCGACGATATAAAAGACTTGAAAAATACAGTAGAAAAACAAACAAGTTTATCCTTTGAAAATTCAGAACGTCTCAAGTCAATGGAGGTACGATCCAAAAGGCAGGAGGAAATGATTGAAAAATTATTAGTAGAAAACAACAGCCTTAAGATGGAAAAAAAATTTTGAAAGGTAGGCAAAACCATGCAGTGCAGGCCCAGCTATCACTTTCGCTGGAGCTAAGGGAGATCACCATGAAGACCAGGGAAACGCCTGAGGGTATGGTTTTATCCAGGGTGGTCCTGGGTGTGAAACTCAATTACGAGGACCTGTGTTTGGTAGAGTGAAGGTGTTCTAGAGAGGAAGACACCCGATCACTTGATCATCGTGTGTTTCATCTGCGATGAAGTGTTACACCTAGGAAGGATAAAAAGACACCTCGTTCATTCCCTTTCAACCCACTCACCATACTTAGTTCTCGAGTACATGGCTCGACCTTTTTCTAATTCATTCCTCTCAAAATCCTATCTCCTTTCTCTCATATTATGACCTCATCAAGATTTCCTATAGCGTCCTCAATCCTTTTTTCCTAAGATCATCCCTAAGCAAATTAAATTACATGGCGGGATCTAGGCTCATTGACTTTTGAAAAATTAAATCCTTTTCTCAAAAATTCCAGCAAAGTTCCAGTTCCCTTTACAGTCTCCGATTTCAGACCCATTTCTATTCTCTCCAACCTTTCAAAGCCTCTCGAAAGACTAGTCCATTCTCAGCTAAATATCTTCCTTGAGCAAAATGCTCTCTTCAATCCCCTACAGTCTGGTTTCCGATTCCAGTTCTCCACCCTATCCACTTTCTTCAAAATCACCCTAGACCTTTGATTCTGCATATACAAACTGCTAGACCTTTGATTCTACACAGACAAACAGAAAATCTCTATCCTGATCCTCTTTGATTTTTCAAAAGCCTTCGATTCGTTTAATCATGAAATCCTTCTTTCCAAACTCCAAAACCTTTCCATATCAAATAGCGTCCTAAAGTGGTTCCATTCTTTCTTGTATCCCAAACAGTCATCATTTCCAATAAAACTTCTTCCTTCTCCCTCTTACTAACTTGTGGTGTTCCACGGGGATCTTTGCTCTCTCCAATTCTTTTCTCCATCTACGTCAACGACCTTCCTGATTCCATCCATCATTCACAATACCACCTTTATGTTGACAACATTCAAATCTACCTTTCCTTTCATCCTACTGAGATGCTTGAGGCGACGGCCACAGGAAGATATAGATAGTATGACCACTTTGGCAGCTAGGCAATGATTTAAAATTAAACGTGGAGAAGACCAATTTCATCCATTACTATCTCCTACTGTACCTCAATGGACTACCTATTCATTTCCATAATTCTGTAAGAAATCTTGGAGTACTTTTTGATCAATACATCTCCTGGAACAATCATATTTCCCAAATTATCTGAAAATCTATTGCTACCCTAAAACAGTTCCTAAGATTCCGTGATTCTATGTCCCTGAAAACCCGCCAGCTCCTAGGTTCTTCTCTTATTTTTCCTCACTTGGATTATGGCTGCCTTATATACATAGGATTGTCTGGTGGGCTCTAGATCAGATTGAAGAGATTAATGAATTATTTCATTAGATTCATCTTTGGAGCCCCACATCTCAGCTGATACGCCGAGTTGAAGTGGTTTATTTATACGTGATTATCTATCGTGATTGTGATGTATTTATACGCCCAATGCCCAGCAGTAATACCTAGGCTTGAGGATTATGACAGGCATTGCTTGTGATAAGACTGCCGGGAGCCAGTTTAGAGCCAGCTTTTGTCAACATTGGGTCCATGTTCTGGGCATTGGATCTTCCATCACCTCACCATTGCTGGAGCCCTGCACTCAACCACACCAGCCTTGCACCATCTTGCTCACCACAGCTGACAGACATCGGCAGTCATCAATCGAGATCGATATGCACATCGATCTCCCCCTCCCTCCACCACCCACCATCGACTGCTTGACATTATCTAATAACTCAAAAAGTAATCTCGTTGTGAACAGGGCTATCTACTTCCCACTGGGATTGTTATGCAGTACCTTTGTTTAAACCCGCCCTTGTTATGCAAATTTATAATTAAGTTTTTTTTTCAGATCATTGACTGTTTAATGATTAATATTCAATATGGAAATTTAGAAGTTAAATTAACTTGTGGACATTGCCTTGGTGTGATGGGTGCTATAAATCCAGCAAGGATTGGTTATGATTATAACCACTGTAAGTTGATACTATTTTATAATGAGCAAACTGTTTTTTTTTAATTTTTTATAAAAAAATATTACTTCTCAGTTTCACATTTTTTTATCAACAACATTAAAAAGCTTTCAGTGCATATTAGTCCAGTCAATGAGTGCTCAAAAAGGGAATAGAAGGAACACAGCTTTTGATTTTGGGGCTTTTTTCACACTAGTTAAGGGTTAAACATACTAAAAGTCCACTCCTAGGAGGTGAACTGAATGTGGGAGGGGTGGGGGCCACAAGATCACTTTTTTCAGTTCGTCAATAAATCAGGAGAACCATCTATCATAGTGATAAAGACATTATGTACAAAATTAAAGCTGATAAAATTTGTCACTATATTGATGATATTCATTTTTATGCTCTCATATAGTTTCCGAGATATCCGTGCTCATTTATAGCTGATTTTTAAAAAACACATTTTTGCCTCATGTTTTTATCTTTGCTTTACTGTGGGATCTCACTTCTTCAGTGTGCAAATAAGATCCTCTCAAACATCATCTTCTGCAAACTCTTCCCGTTTGCTGAGAGAGAGATTGGTAAGTATCAGGCGGGGTTCAGAGAAAGAAAATCTACAGTTGACCAGATGTTTAGCCTCCGTATGATACTGGAAAAGTCTCAAGAGTACAGGATGATAACCCATCACCTGTTTATTGACTTCCGAAGTGCATACGACAGCATCAAGAGACCTCAACTGTATGCAGCCCTGGGAACCTTAGAGTTCCCTCGAAACTTGTCTGCATCATCAAGATGACTATGTATGATGCTAGGTGCACTGTTCGGGTACAATCGGACCTGTCAACTGAATTTGTCTCCACGCGAGGAATTAGGCAGGGGGGTGGGCTTGCCTGACTATTATTTAACCTGGCCCTGGAGAAAGTGATGCGTGGCTTGGGGATCCAGACTACCAAGACTATCTTTAACAGATTAACGCAAATACTGGGATTTGCTGACAATTTAGATGATACGTTCCTTCGAGTCTCTTAAAAGTGCATTTTTAAGTTGGCTGAAGCGGCAGAAGCTTTGGGAATGAGTTTATACCAGCAAAAGACAATGTATTTGCGAGCAGGACCTGAAACTGAGACTGCAGTACGAGTACTGGTGGTTATGGGCCCATTTACGTTCCACGATGTAGACCAGTTTATCTATCTGGGAGCTATTGTAAGCTGTGAAAATAGAATATCCCTGGAGGTCAACCAGGGAATAGTAAGGGCAAACAGGTGCTATTTTGACCTCAGAAACACCTTGGAAGCTCTGCTATCTCCCGTCATACAAAATGCCTCATATATAAGACCCTCATTAGGCCTGTTCTCACATATGGATCGGAAAGCTGGACCCTCTCTAGCAAAGAAGAAAAACGATTTACTAATCTTCGAAAGGAAGATCCTTCGGCATATCTTTGGACCTGTTAAGGTCGGTGATGATGGAAGAAGGAGGACTAACAGGGACCTATATGATCTATATGGGGAGACAGATTTGTTGAGGTGCATCAAGCTTGGAAAACTACATTTGGCCATGTGGCCAGAATGCCAGAAGAGGAAGTGCCAAGGAAGTTGCTTGATGGAAAGCTTTTGCAAGACAAGAGGGAAAGGCAGACCACATCTAAGATGGAGGACGCCGTCATCCGGGACGCCAGAGAAGTATTGCATACCCACAACTGGCGAGCAACTGTGCAAGATAGAGCCATCTGGTGAGCGCTCATTGAGGCGGCCAAGGACCACACCTATCTGTTAGTTATGTTCCATACCACACCTATGGAAATAGTTAGTTAGTTCTATCTTTGCTTTACTATCCAACTCTTTTTCCTATTCATTCTATGCAAAAGTCATGGGGGAAGAAAGTTGTTCAGCATTTCATTTTTATTAAGAATATTTATAATTTTACTATCTTATCTTCATCCCATCAAAAGTTAGGGCAATTATAATTTAATGTGTAAATTCTGAGATTTTATACAAAAAAACTTAGCTTTCGTATTTTCCGTTATTGAACTGCTCTAAATCTTTATATAAGGCAGTATTTATAAATAAATAGTATGTATTTTATTTATAAGTACCACTAAGGTTCAGAAGGCTTCTGCACTTTTCTCAGGCTCTTCAACCAAATATGAATAAGTGGTATGAAGGAACCTCTCACCCCGATAAAGTCAGCCATTTATCACCATTATTACTGTATAATTGTAATATTAGATGTAAGAATATTATTAAATTAAACCTAAAATATTTTAATAAAACTATTTAATAATAATAATATCAGTTTTACTCGACGTTTATTAAAAAACTTATGTAAAAATTGTTAACTTTGATGCATCAACCTACATCTATAGCTTTGTGGACCGAATCTACAGTTAACATGTGTATTAAGAGTATATTGTAGTAGTAGTGGATCCAGGGTTTCATTGATGGAGATTTAATTGATTTATTTAATTATAGACATACCCCTCTTGAGAAAATGTTCAAAGTTCATCAACCAAAACTCCTTTTTTACACCATTTACAATAGAGAATGTATAGGACATATTGTAATTCTTTAAGTATTTCATCATATATCGTCATTTCATTTCTATAAGGATGAGAACTGTTGCTGTAAAAGTAGTTTTATTGGACTCTCAGGATCGATAATAGTTTTCAACAAAACCAAACAATATTACTTTTAGAGAAATAAAAGCGTACCTCAAAATATATAATGTAATACATATTACTTATTTAATGAATTCTTGAAGGAAGTTAGTCGACTGTTCTACATATCGTGGGTGATAAATATTCAGGACGCAGTCTTTTTAAATTTTTTATTTATGCCAACATTTCAACCCAGACATGTGGGTCATCTTCAGAGCGTAGTTTGAGCACTGATGGTGTTCAATTACTCGTACTTGAATTTAAAAGACTGCATCCTGAATATTTATCACCCATTACTTATTTAAGTGCTACTTATAGATACAATACATACTATTTATATATAAATGTGTAAATACTGACTTATTTAAAGATTTAGAATAGTTTAAAAATGAAAAAAAAAAATGTGTCTCTTCCATTTCTTTCTATAATCATTCATTGTCTGGACTATGGTATCATATTCATATAATAATATTATTAAGGAAGGAGATGGTCCGGGGTTGCAGTCATAAAAAGGCTAAATAGTGGTAAAACTATTTTATTGAAAGCCAACGTTTCGACCCGACTTTGCAAGTCTTCATCAGGGCTAGAACGGACAAGATACAAAAAGATAGAGAATTGTGGCAATTACATAATATTTAGACATAATTTATAAACAATGTGAATAAGCTTATTAAAATTATAAACAGTAAGTACAATAAAATATGGACTAAGTAACAAGATCCTAAACTAAGTTAAATAGATGCTAAAAATTGTTACAGTGTAATATATAATAAATGAAAATGTGAGTATAATTCTACAAAATCTACATGAGAAAAATAAAATTAGAGACTTACAGGTGTGTTCATCTAGGAGTTTCACTTAAAACTGGAAAGGCAGCGGTAAGGATTGCAGGTATAGGGGAAGTTAACATGTGTTAACAAAGTAAACTTTGAAAAAACCCAGGAAATTACAGTATCTAGGAATTTTTGAGTATATGGATGGATACAATGGAAAAATACTATATCTATGAAATATTAAATTATAAATATGTAAATATACATATAAAATAGAGTTGAGAGATGTGAGAGGTATTTCATGATTCTAGATCAGAGTACAATGTGAATAAACCCAAAATTGGCAAAAGTAAAATATAAATATAGAAATAACTTCATTAACATACATACATTGCAGAGCTAGCTTAAAAGTATAGAGAGGGAGAGGGGAAAAAAAAGATAATGGGACATGGTTAATAAGTAAAATTAATACAAAGTGGGAAAAAGGATGATCATACATTGGTGTAGAGTGTAAATGTAAATTTAGAATAAAATAGAAGAGAGATCATACAAAGAAGGAATATTTAGAATAATGAACAATTAAATGAATTAATTAATAAAAATTAAGTGTAGATGAAAATGATAGAATAGAATATTTAAGTTATTTTTCCCTTATAACACTTAAAATGTGTCTATATGTAAGAGAAATACCGTTTTTGTCTACTTTGTGATTAACGGGATTCTGTTCCATGTGAATGTGGATAGATTCGGAAATGAGTCTTTTTTCATGGTTAGGGACCGTGGAAAGGATAGAGGTTTTTTCAAAATCAAATGAGTGATTGAGAGTTAAAGAATGTTCTGATAGTTTGGAGGCAGAAGGATTCCGGGAAGTTATGGACGTTTTATGTTGGGAAATGTGGGTTTTGAGATAGTTTTTGGTTTCACCAATATAGGAGCTATTGCAATTAGGAGTAGAGCAGGGTATCCGGTAAACTACATTGGATCGGTGTTGTAAGAGTATGGGATCCTTCAAGTTGGTGAAAAGGAAAGAAAGTTTGTTATGGGACTTAAGGCCCAAGGTGTAAGTTGGTTATAGTCGATTATAGGAATTTTTGTATATTGTCTGAGAGGATAGGAATATAGGGGAGAGATTTGTATATGAAAGGAGTTGTAGATGATTGTGGGGAGTTGGAAGAATAGGTGGTTGTATTGTTTTTGGTTGTATAGCAATTTAAAAGTTTATGTATGGTGTTGAGAGGAAAATTATTAGAGAGCAGTATATTTTTGACACGCTGAGTGTTGGCTTGATGGTATTGTGGATCGGATAAGGAGAGGGATTGGTGAATGAGGTTTTTGGCGGTACCCCAGACCATCTCCTTCCTTTATAATGCAACGGTCAACTATTAAATATTCAAAATAATATTATTAATATAAATTATTAAAATATTCAATGTTTCACAATACTTCTTTGAATTTACTGTTTTATCTCCTCATCATCAACCAGAAGGGAAGCACTTCCTTGGCTTAAAAAAAAAATATAGTTGCATTTTCATCAATCTCACTAACTTCCTGAGAACATTTCGCTCAGTCATGATTTTCTAAATACTTTTTCTGTCTTTAAAATCATAGACTGCTTAGAAATAGACAAATAATGCATGCACATTATCTCGTATACCACAGGAAGGAGTGAAATGCCTCTGTGATTAGCTGTTTACTCTCTAATTCAATAAGCTCAATGTTTAAGCTCTAATTCAATGAAAACACCACAAAATAACCTATTTTGTTATTTTAAAATAATGGTTATCACTCAATACTGCCAAATTGGTTAGGGAAAGCGGGGTAAGATGACGATTGAGGAAAGATGATGAACTCATTATTTCTCACTATCAGTCACAGATAGTAGTACTTCCTAGCCAGATTTGACCCATAAGATTTGTGTAGTGGTGGAAAATGTAACTCACTAGTATTAACAAGGATGTGTCATGAATTGATGCTGAGTTATGAAGTGATAAAAAGTTTGGATATAGAACACTTAAAAGTAATTTTCAAGTCTCAAAATGCAAGGAATCAGCAGTCCAAAGTAAGTTTTTCATTTCACTTTTCCATTGAAATATTCTGAATGTACAACTCCATATTTACTAACTCATTTAAATCTTGATTTCAAAGAGGATAAATTTAACATCATATGTTTGGTGGAAGGCAAATATGAGCTGTGGAACCAGTGCTGCAATTGCCTCAAGTGGGCTCATTCTCAATGTTCTGGATTGGACTAGAGAGATGCCAGTCTCAGGGCCTATAAATGCAACCTCTGCATTTAATTTTTTTTTAAATATCAATTTGTGATTCCTTTCACAGTTTTATATATTTTTTTTAAGTTAAATGTCAGCAAAGTTTGATAGAAGTTCTTGTTTCTGCTGTTTGTTATTATGTTTTAAAATTCCTGGTCTTTTCATTATCTAATCCCAACCCATTCTTCATTTTACCATGTAACTGGTGTAAGATGATAAAAATGACAATTTTTGGGAAACCCCACATTTAATTCACTTGAAGACAAAAGAAGTAATTGAAAAAACTGATGGTATTAGGTAAAATATTGAAGTTCTCAATAAAAATTTCAGTTCTTAAATTCACTCTGGACAGGAAAAATTTCAAAAACTTGACCTCGTTATCTTACCCTGCCTTCCCCAATAAAATTAATCACGATTGAAGAGCACTTTAATGAGAAAATATACAGATGAGCTGCTTATGGATTGAGGCTGGACCCAGACTAACTTTTCTTAAACACACACACACACATATATATATATATTGTTTTTTTCGTTTGGCACTACAGATCATGAAGATCTTTGGTCGCGAGATGTGGTCTCCCTCAGCGTATGTTGCTTGCGGGAGCTCAGATAGCCTGGAGGGGGTCACCCAACCTCACGTTGCTACGAACCATGGTCTCCATGGTGCAGCGGTAGGCCACCCGTAGCTCCATAGCCGATCCCTTTGGGGCCAATCTGGCAGTGTCCTTCTCACCGACTCACTCGGATTCAAGGACAGTGACAAATCGCTCTAGATCCATGAATTATGACTGCTCGGAGTCAGCAGGCGCACGAGGACCTATATTTCTTTCCCCGAAACAGACTCCATGGACCGAACCTCAGGGGGGGCTAAAATCCTGGTAGACCACATCCCGATTCCTGATTAAGTACACGGGGTAGGGTCATCAGTCCTATGCCCGGTCGGTGTGAGTTGCCTCCAATAGGCTGACGGGTCTCACATACCCGGGATGGGGGGGGGAGAAACTCGGGCAGCTTGGCTTTCCCTGGTAGACGGTCACCCACATCAGGCGGTCACCAATCAAAGTACTAACCACGCTCGACGTTGCTTAACTTTGATTACCTATTGCAAGCGCCTTAGTCCGTACGGCTACCCCAGCCCCCTATATATATATATATATATAAAATATATAATATTGGTATCTTTAAATTTTTTTTATTGGAGGTAGTAATGGAATCAGTTATGTTGATATAATGTACATAATTAACTTATAATAATAGTTATTTAATTAATATACATTTATAAAAATAATGAAAAATAACACTGAAAAAATAATTATACTTTAACTTTATTCAAAAATTCAGTTTGATTTGAAACTTTTCCATGTATTTTTTTTTTGTATGTCTTTATATGTATTAATTTAAATATCTAAGTTTTAAAAATATATTTATTTATTATATTGTGTGATAACTTTTTTTAGGTTCCCAAAGGAAGTGCTATGTTGTTGAAACTGAGGACTTCGCTTATTTTATCATACTCGAATTAACAAACAGTTTGCAGAAATCTGAAAATTCATATGCATTCAATATCATTGCTAGTTCCATTCAGGTGTATAAAATTCCTTTCTTATTCTTAAAATTATTAACTTACAAATTGACTTAAAGTTTGTTAAAAAAAAAATAAACAAGAATGGGTCAATTAAAATAGGTACCTGTTTTTAATGAATCTGTTGTTAATTATTTGTTCTGATATATTTATATTTGCAGGAACTCTTGAAACTGTATTTTCCTAATAAAAATATAGAAAGAATAGAGAAATTCTTTAAGCGATTTCCTTCAAATGAACGTGACATCCTTAAGTCATTATTGAGTACAAGATACATTTTTATTGAACCTGTATTAATTAAAAGAGATGTTTCTAAAATTGGGTAACAATATGTTTGTATTTATATTGTAATTTCTATTATGTATCATATCTTTCATGTTATACACTGAAAGGCAAAAAATTCCACCCACTTGATTTTTCATGTTTTCATCTAAAAATATTTCACCCACTTGTAAAAAAAGTTGTATTTGTATATAATACATGGTATTTGTTGATAATACTTAGTATTTATAGAATTTTATAATCTTTTTTACCTTTAATAATCAAAATGTGATTGGGTAAGAAAGATTAGAGAAAAAAAAAATTAGCCATTATTATTCTAAAAGAAATTAATTACATCATCGTTTAGTTGCGCGTGTTTCCTCCTCTTACCTTCACTACTTCTCTTACTGGACGAAAAGCCATTAATCCCAGCGGTACGCTCAGAAATTTGCACACCTCGAACTTCTTCGAGCTGATGAATCACTTGGTAAGGTGCCGGTTTCATAAAATTCTCAAAGTCAAAAACCGGTCATCCCGTGGTTCTGTTACCCTAGGCCGTCCAGAACCGGGGCCATCTATTGTAAGAACCAGTTTCCCGAAGACGCCTGACGGCGTCTCGTAAAGTTTCATATGGAACTCCTATGGCATTAGCTGCATATCTAATGGAACGTCCATTATCAATAAGTGCCACACCACGCGCAACATCCTCAGCACTAAGAGGCATTTTTAAACTTAATATAGAAAAAATTAAAAGCCGGAGACTATGAAATGTGCTGCAAGAAACGGCACTGAACTAATGATACTGAATAAACATATTGATTCCATAGAAAGTAAACATTGGAATCTAGAATCATTTCATTGAATTAAGGATTAAGGGTTATTGCCTCTATATTAACATTCCTAATTGAAAACAAACAAAAAGATTACCTATTTATTCATTCAAAACAATAGACCAATCCAAAGCAGAAATATTTTTAGACAAAAACATGAAAAAATCAAGTGGGTGGAATTTTTTCCCTGTCAGTGTATTTAAGTGTCACTCTATACCGAATCATCCATGGGCCGACACCCACCCCCACATATTTAATGAAAATTTATATGTTAATTAGATACATAAATTAGAAAAAAAAATACCAAATTTTATCTAATTCCTACCATTAGTTTCAGAATTGCGGTCAATAGAACTTTTGAGTCTTTGATAAAACCATTTAAAGAGAACTTATGAGGCTAAACTATGCTAAGTCCTGTATTTAATAAAATCATGAATAATTCGCGACTTTCTTTAACACACTACAACTATTTTTTTTATAAAGCATCAAGAGTGTACTGCGGCCATGTAGGCCTATTGTACGCCTTATTTAAAGTCACTCCTGTTTATAGTGTAATTCCTGCATTCTCAATGAACTGTAATAAGCTTGTTGGATTGATAAACACGTTTGCCTTGGTATCAGTTACCCTATCAATGCCAAATAATCGGAATCTTAGTCCAGCAAACCTGTCACCAGCAAGTAATATGATAAGCTGTCTCATCCTCCTAGCCACAGTACCTGCATTGTTTATATATCAGTTTATATATTTGTGCCAATGATGACCCTCATGTTTGGGTTGAAATGTTGACACAAAAAAAAAATTGTATAATGACTGTGTCCTGACTATTTATCACCCATAATATGATAATTAAGTTTACAGTGCCCTGTATTTCTTGGCAGTAGGTGCGAAGCTGCCCAGTGAGGTTCTTTGCCTTTCGCCTGTCTTTGGGGCCAGCCCTGGACCTTCACAGCTTTAGGCGCAGGGTCTCAAGAGACCTCTACGTCTTTAGCTGGTGGCCCAGAGGTCAGCTCCATTTGAGTAAAGTGTCTTCTTGGAGCCTTAGCAGCTGGCAGTTCTGCCTTGGTCGCCGGACCATAGTTGGCCCTTGCAACCTTAGCCTCCCGCCCACCACTAGCCCCTTGATTTTTTGTTGTGTCCTTGAAGCAGAGACCCCCATGTCGGACTCCTCGGCCTTATTTGCATGGTCTGGGATGACCCTTGCATCCTTAGCTGAGTGCCCTAATGTAGGTCCCGCTTCCGGATGTATTTTTAGAATGATTTTGGCAGCCATTCTGTTCATCCATTGCCGTCTTCTCATTGTATTTGATTGTTTTAGTGTGACGGGGACTGCTTCTTTCAGAGCGAGTCCACCGCCCACCATCTGAATATTTGATTCCGTCAGGCCTACTGATAGGCCTGTCTCTTGAAGGTTTTGTGGAGGTAGGGCAACAGCTGCAACCTTGGCTGTGATCACCCTCCTAATCTCCTTGCCTTCATAGCAAACTTGAAGTCCCTCAACTTCAGCCATGAGAGATCTAAAGGTGTCTCCCATTGATGCCTCATCGAGGGTAATGTCAAGAGAAGCCCCTGATAGGTCATGATGTTTATGTTCCAAGGAAGAAGAGTCTTCCTCAGAAGAAAAAGTCCATCTAGTCTGTTAGTCCTGTCGTTTAAGTTTATGTTTTTTAATATTTAGATCCTGCATGTTGTTCCCACGAGTATGGGGGAAAATAGACCGTAGGTAGTGCCCCCTCTCTCTACAGTCGGCTACTATGAAATGGGATGTTGCCTGGTGCCCCAAGTGTGTCGATACAAGGCAGTATATTTTTACTCACCCTCTGCCACCCAGCCTCAGCTCGAGCGCTCGAACCTAGCTTGGGTGCCTAACAGGTTCATCGCATCCATCTCGCATGTATATGGATGGAAGCTCTGTCGTCTGTTTTTTACCTTATTATGGCCTTTAAATTCATTTTAACATATTGTAATGGAGATTGATTAAACCAATCTATTTTTCATTAAAATAATATATTCTCAATGATGCTTTTGTGGCTGGAGGATTTGAAAACTACCAATAAAAATGTTGTTTGATAAAATGTAAATATTTTTCTATAGTTTCTAGTAAAACGTTTCTTGTCATCTATAGCGGACTGAACATTACTAGTGATTTTGATTAGGGCGGATTGTGCAGACTAACCTGGTCGAAAACCAGATTGGTAAGGGTGAAGTTGATTGGCTTGCTCGAGGCAATTGGAAACTTGAGATTGTACTATTCTTTCCAAGGATATGTTTTTATGTTGCTTAATGCATATTAGTTACTCTTTGGGTCTTTCTAAAGGTTTTTGTGCAAGAATCATTGTGATATGATATAATAAATATTACTTAAGTCATGAACTTTTTTCTTTAACTATCACTAATAATACGATAATTGGATATTTCATAATTTTCTATTCCATACATTTTGGAAAATTAATTCCTTATAAAGTGTTTGAGATATCAAAATAAGATTTTGCTGGGTTAATAGGCTTGGTTAAATGAAGAAAGAAAGAATGAAAAATCTAAGACCATGGGTTTCATTATCATTTTTGGCTGAATGATTTGAAATGGACTCACTTGTATATTTACATTTATCAATTAAGTCATTTATTCTTTTTAATTTAATCTAAACATTGTTACATAGCATTCACAATGGCTGATAAAACTTCTTAATTTGTTTTAAGTTTCAAAAAAAGATCTTCTAAATCTAATTTATGTCTACAAAAATAATATTTAAAAGAAAGAGTTATAATGGAAAAAAAGAAATTATAAATTTGACATACTGAACTCATTAGGAAATCATTATGTTCCACATAAAATAATGTTGAAATATTTATAATTAAAACATTTTTTTTTTTATGTATCAAATTGATTTTCATTCCTTTTTATATATATTTTTTTTTTTTTTAAGTTCCAATAATTGTAAAACGACCTTTGAGTGGGCTTGTTCTTGGACATCTGAGCTTATAACTTTTATTCCCACAGAAAATTTTTGTGCAAAAGTTTTCAGAATCTGTTTTCCCAGTATTCAGTTAGATTTCCAAGCCCTTGAAGCATTACTACCTCATATTTTGAGTAAGTTATTTTCAATTTTTTTATTATCAAACCCTTTTTTTCTTCTTTTTACACAATCTTTAAATTCACATGTCTACTTCAAGATCATATGTTTACTGTAATGTCTTTATTTTTAATATTATGAAAAAAATACATGTTTCTTTAGAGAGAGAGAGAAACACTTTATTTTCATAAAATATAAAGGATTGCTGCCCAATTATATTGGGTTGCTATATACACAGCATACTCTTCTAATATTAAGGTTAGACAACTTTGTAAATTAATTTATTTTTATTGTCATTTAATTATTCATAATCGCCAGACAATGTTCATTTCTTTGTTCATTATAATTATTCTGAGGGGATTAAATGTCTCAGAATAAAATTTACTTTCTTTCTTTCAATCAAATGTTTTTATTATCTGGTAATGTAAATTCAATATTTTATCCGAAAACCTTCATTTCAAAATTTACTTACCAAATTGAATTGTAGTTTATTATAGCTATGGTATTATGCCTATCATCAATATAATTTGAAAGCGTTATTGATTTAGCATTAGTTACAGAAATGGAAAGGGTTTGTTTTTAGTTACAATACGTTACATTTTTGTGAAATTGTGTCTTTAATTGAATTGTGTTTTATGTAGCATACATTACACTGTTTTGTTGTATTATATAAAAATAAAGGTGTTATACCAATCAGGTGTTAACCTTTTTGATCAGTAAATAAAAACTACAGGTAAGCAACTTAAGAGAAACTCTTGTACATGGAGCCTTTTGTTATTAAAAAAATAATAAACCCACTAACTGTTACACATGATTTAAATAATGTATAACAGATCTGTTAGTTGCTTTTAAAGTTTGTAGTGATTAATGCATATATTATTATTTTTAACTTTGCAGATGCTTATACCAAAAATTTCAATTTACTTAAAAATCCAAAACTTTCATTTTAGAATCCAAACTTTCCAACGTTTCAATGATAAAGCTATCTGATGTTCTTGTTCCTTTCAGACTTTCAACCAAAATAAGATTTTCTTTTAAAGCTGTGTTGGTCCTGGCACATTCTTTTTCTTTGGCAAGCAGCAAATGTTTTATTTTAGCAATTTCTTAGATTTGAAATCTATTGGATCCTTCTCTTTATTAAAAAAAAAATTGTAATCTTCTACAGCTCTGAGTGCATTGCTTGGTTTGTTTCAGTAAATCTTAATAAATCTAATAAACATTGTGTTGCCTTTTCCTTCTCCTCTTTTTATTTATTTATTTATTTTATTTTTTTTTTTTTTAGACTACTCTTGCGAAAGTTCTACTTAACTTTATTTATAATTTTCTTAGCCCATTCTGTTTCAATTTTTTTTTTTTCTATGCGACATCTTCATTCTTCGATTTTGGCAAGTATAGTGACTTTACCATTATACAACCTGATTTGAACATCTTGAGTTTGTACTGATGATGTTGCAATTCCCTGAGCGGACCCTTTTCTACTGTTGTCTGTCACTGTGAGATTAATTTTTTTATCCTCTGAAGGAATATCAATTTCTGGTAGCAAGTAATGCAAGCAACATTTCTTCCTCTTCTTCAGATAAATCCTTTAAATAATGAATATAAATCTGCTTACCAAATTTACATGTTTCATAACTATTAGTATTAGGATATCTGTTAGTTTTTCACTCTCCAATTCATCAAATCATCTACAATGAACTTCCTCTGTCCACTTGAACAAAATAATTTTGAATGTATAAATTTTCAATTTTGCTGCCAGTTTACTGGGATAAAATATTGAACAACAAAAAAACCTTCACTAAGTTTATTTCATTACCACATTATGTAATTTTTAATAACATAGGCCAACAATTGTTTCTGTGCCAGGGTATTTGGAGCTGATTTCATATGAATTTAGTGCCCTAATTTCAAATAGGGCATTAATTTTTGCATAGAAGGTCAAATTTCTAAGATATAACGTTATAGTGAAATGTACGTTTTAAGTTATATTAGGTTAAATCCATGAATCAATCTAAAAATTAAACTTGAAATCTTTATTATTAAATTACACAAATATTATTATATTATAAAAATACTATATAATACAAATATTATTAGTAAGTATACAGGTGTTCTGTGAGTAGAGGGAAAATTTCATAGGAGTGATAGCAGACATCAAGAGCTACAAAAAAGTTCATATAAACAATGGGTCAAATTTCAGCAGGAAAGTATGAAATCCAAGTTCTGTATATTTTAAAGTAAGTCATGGTTTTTTTTGAATAGGAAGCGATAACTAAAGAAATATTTTATTTAATAATGATTGCTTCACTATAAACTAGTCAAAATTTATTTCAAATGAAAATAGCAACTTTTTCTTCAAAATTGAGTAACCGGAAGTGGCACTTTATATCATGGACTAAACATATGTAAGATTGTGATGTAAGGGTTATCAGACTTCAAACGATTCTTTAACTCACTAAAAGAATTAATTTATTTACAATTAATTTAGAAATGATAAGTGTGATATAAACAAATAAAAGAAAATACAAAACAAAGTATTATTACCTAAAAGAATTGAATTAAAGTCCTTATCTTAGGGTCCTTTAGCACTTTACAATCATTAACCCAACTTTAAAACCAATACACAAATATTGTAACCTTCTCATATTCTAAAATAGCACCATGGCTCACTAAATATTAGACAACATATTTACACATATTTTTATTATTTTTCGAAAACGGCCCTGACGACCCTTGTATCAGTGTAAAATTAAGCAGTTTTAAATAAAATGTAGGTTTTTTGGTTTATTATTTTCAATAATCAACCATTGTGATCGACAAAAAAATTCAAAAACTTAACCCCCTCTCAAAATTTGAGGTTTCACTTTTCAGGACGCGTAGAATTCGAAAAACGAATAAAAATTTTCTCCGAAACTACTGGACCGATTTTTTTCAAATTTTGATATAAAATCAGAGGTCACCTGAGGATGATCCTCCTTCATCGACATTACTCTCCGCCTTTAACTTTCAAAATGGCGGCCGAAAAAACTGCGTTGCTATAGACTGTAGCTCCTAAACGAATGTATAAATTTAAAGGGCGTCGAGAAAATGACTTTGGTGAAGTTTCATTGAAATCTGTACATTTGTTTAGGAGCTACAGTCTATAGCAACGCAGGTTTTTCGGCCGCCATTTTGAAAGTTAAAGGCAGAGAGTAATGTTGATGAAGGAGGTTATCCTCGGGTGACCTCTGATTTTATATCAAAATTTGAAAAAAATCGGATGGTAAAATTAAATTCCGAATATCTCGAAAAGTTTTTACCTTTTTGTTGAAATAGGAATCACTTTTTGTTTTTTTTTCTTTGTAACTCGAAAGGTAATGTTACTTTAGATGTATAATTGTTTGGAAATAATAAACCATTGTGAAATAATTTGCAGCGTTTTTTTTTATGTAACTTAATGTTCCTCATCCTAATATTTATGTTAAAATAAAGAAACCTGCTGTTTGCTTCCATTATTTTCATGAGAACGTAAATACTAGGACCAGCAATATTAAATTTGTCACTTACAAATACAGATCAATTACTATGACAACAATCTGGGAGAAAAACACAGTTCATAACCACTTTACATGAAAAATATTGGAAAAATCATTATTTTTAAAATTTGTTTTTTATAATTATAAAAAGTGTATTTAGGCAATTTTGTTTATCGTAATACATCCTATATCATGGAAAAACAAGAAATAAAACCTTTACAGCAGTTAATTGTAGTCATTTTTGCTGAAAGCAAGGGCAAGTTTAGGTGACAGGTTAAAAAATCACTTCACTTGTTTTACACAACTTGAGGTGAATCTCAAGTTTTCCTATTAAATCTCAACTTGATTAATATGAATTTATACATATTTAACGAGGAAGGTTTTATAAAAGTGGGGTATCTGTAGTATAGTTGGATGATGATAAAAAAACATTGCGAATAATTTATGATTTTTTTATAAACAGAATTTAGCTGAGTTTAGCTAAATCGATAGAAGTCCCATTTAAATGATTTTAATCATGACAAATTCTGCTTTCATTTTAACCAATTGTTTTCTAGTTTAGCAAGTTTGATAAAGCAGTGAAGCAATTTTGAATTACTTAAATTAAATATTTCTTTAGTTATCAGTTCATATTCAACAAAAAACATGACCTGCTTAAAAAAAACAAAACTTGGATTTCCTCTTTTGCTGAAAATTGACCCATTGTTTATATGAACTCTTTTGTAGCTCTTGACGTATGCTATCACTTCTATAAATAATTTCCCTCTACTTACTTGACACCCTGTATATATAAAGGAATGCAGTAATAGTTTCTATGCACTCAATATCATTTCCAGTTTTCTTTCTTAATATTATGGAAATATCTTTCATCTAGCATCAATCTTTTAAAATGAGATCAATCCTCAGCTACACATTGCACTTTTCACTTTTTGATGATATGATTTTATCTATATGGAAGCTGTGCGTAAGTCATGTGAGGCTAAACTTTAGTCCTGTGATAAAAACTTCTCTTCTGCTGTATTAGTTCAAACTTTTCGTGCTTTAGTTTATTTTTTGATACATTTTAATTAATTTGATCCATGGATGCCCAAAGCTGGTTCCAGTTCGTGCATTAGCTTGGGATTTAGCAGAGCATAGCTGCTCTGCATAAATATCTGGTGTCTTATGGATGTTGGTTACTTTAATGTTGATAATGCTGCTTGATTAGCCACTTTCCCTCAATCCCCAATATGTGTTACAATCCAGACAATTATTATGTTCTTGTTAAAGTTTTTATAAAAACATTATAAAACAGAAATATTATTTTTATTATACCAATTCATTCTCATGACCGAATAGTAAATTTAATCAGAAGTCGACGAAATACATGTTATGGTTTCTATTTTGTTTTAAATTTAATTTTACAAATTGGTGAAAAATGTCTTGAATTTTTTATTTATGCTTGAGTTTATTTAAGCTCGATTTAGTATCGCTGGATTCTAAAAAAAAATCATTGAATCCCTATGTCATACATTTTTCTTAAATGATTAGACAAATGTAAATAAAAAAAAAATTGTCTTGATAAAAAAAAAACATTTATTTTAATAAGACCTGTTTAATTTTTTTAATACAATTATTTTCTTTTTATTTATTTTTAGTCCATTCTATACAGTTATCCAAACTAACTGATCTAATTTTTATTGAAATGGAAATAAAATATATACTTAATTCGGATGCTCCTGATTTTTATTTGCCATCTCAAAAAAATATCACTAAAGGTCAATCCAAGAACTATGGTGGTGTTTCAAATTCTAACATCAGAGAGGGAAGATGTGTAGCTATTATTCTTGATCTTATTGATTTTCTTTACATTGCACGTAGTGTGCTGGAAGATGGCATAATTGATAGTGATTATTCTTCTAATATGATGCGCCTTACAAGTAAGTTTCCTAAATATGATTTGATTACTTTTTGTTAAAAGGATTTTTTGTTTATTTTATTATTAACAGGAATATTTTTATCAGGTTTTTTACATAGGTTTTCTCCATTGTCTTTGTCACTGAAATCTTATATTCTACAAGATTATTGTCGGTCTCTATTTTATTTTGAAAGGGGGTTCTCTGATTCCAGTCATACTGATATAGCTCCTTTAAGAGTAAGTCTATATAAACTTTATATTTATTTATATTTAAGGTAATTAAGATTACTTTTTATTTATTTATATTATAGTACATCTATGCCAAGCTCAATGACTCAGATGGTCTTTTTGGTGTAATAAGGACTTCTAAAAGTATTCCAACTGTTGAAAAGAGTTTATTAAGCTATGTTGTGCATGGAAATTTGCAGGTAAATATTAAAATTTATCTATTTAACCAGAGTTTAATGTCTGATCATTTATTTGTAGTTAATACCAATCCACACTGTGTAATACACTTTTTTTTCATAAGTTTCAGACCTTCATCAGGCTTTATTTGATATTCTATATATATATATATATATATATATATATATATATATATATATATATATATATATATATATATATATATATATACATGCAAGATAAGAACTAAATACTATTTTTTTTCATGGTTGATAAATAGTCAGGACGTAGTCATTATAAAAGTTTTTTTTATTTGTGCCAGCCAATGTTTCAACCCAAACATGTGGGTCATCATCAGGGCGTGGTTCGAGCACTGAAGGCTTTCAAGGCTTCAGCACACTATTTATTACAGTTGTCATGACCGATTACACTCTTTTGGGACTGGACAGGTGGTGAAGACGTAGAACCCCCAGACGAGGAAGAAATCAATGAAGCCATAGAAGGACTTAAAAGCAATAGAGCCCCAGGCATTGATAACATCCCTGCAGAGTTCTATAAACATGGTAGTCAAGAGCTCATAAAACTCCTCCAGGAAATGTTTCATGCCGTTTGGGTTGATGAAGAGCTTCCAAGTTATTGGAAAAAATCCATTATATGCCCAGTGTACAAAAAAGGGGACGTCTATCAATGTAATAATTACAGGGGCATATGCCTTCTACCCACCGCCTATAAAATTTTTTCAAGGATCCTTTATAGAAGAAAAATTTCCTATGCCGAGGCTGAAATCTGAAAATACCAGGCCGGATTCATTAAGGGTAAATCAACCATCGACCAAATATTCACCTTGCGAATCCTTCTGAAGAAAACCAAAGAATATCAAATTGGTACACATCACATCTTCATTGATTTCAAGCAAGCATATGATTCCATAAATCGTGAAGAAGCATACAAAGCAATGGTAGAAATGAATGTACTTAAAAAACTTGTAAGGCTTGTTAGGATGACAATGGAGGGTAATGAGTGTTTCGTACGAGTACAAGCTGACTTGTCAAAGGGGTTTAGAACATCAACAGGTGTAAGGCAGGGAGACGCTCTGGCATGTCTGGTATTCAACTTTACCCTTGAAAAAGTCACAAGGGATTCTGGTATCCAGACTAAAGGAACCCTCCTAAATCGAATGACCCAAATTCTTGGATATGCGGACGACATTGATATAATGGGAAGATCGTTTGCAGCAGTACAGGAAGCTTTTACAAGTCTGGAAGAGTCGGCAGCCAAAATTGGTCTTATTATCAACGCGTCCAAAACAAAATATATGTCCACCCTATCCGCACGTCTAACAAGGGAAAACCAAGCATAGTTGGAACAGCGTGGAATCGAGAATGTTGACAAATTTGTATATCTTGGTTCATTGATAAATGCACGAAATAACATTGATTGTGAGATAGATAGGAGGATCGGCCAATCGGTGCTATTTCTCCTTCCAGAGACATCTTCGCAGTAAAATGTTGTCAAGACAGGCCAAAATAAGAATATTTAAAACTCTTATTAAATCAGTGCTCACATATGGCTGTGAGAGCACCTTAACTAAAGCAGTTGAGAAATCCCTGCTCAGATTTGAAAGGAGGATTATACGATGCATATTTGGAGGGGTCCAGGAAATATCACAGAATTGGAGGAGGAGAATGAATTTGGAAATAAAGACATTGTTTAATGACCTGGATGTGAGCCAATTCATCGTACTGGCAAGACTACGCTGGGCAGGACATGTCGCGCGGATGGATATGAATGCACCTCCACAGAGAGCTATGAATGAGCCTGTGTTTGGAAACAGACGAGTGGGAAGACCATGTTTGCACTGGCAGGACTGTGCGGCTGCTGATGCATGTAGACTACTTGGTGTCAGAAATTGGAAGGCTGCAGCAACTAACCGGGAGAACTGGAGATCCATGCTGGAGTAGGCCAAGTCTCAAATAATTGGGATGTAGTGCCATTTAATAATAATCATAGATCTGAAAGCAGCAAATAAAAAATAAACAAGAGGCTCACATATGTCTATTAGCAATTAATCTTAAAGAAATACAGAGTAAAAATGAAGAAAATATAATGAATGGTTATTTTGTAAACAAAGTTGATGTAGATTGAAAGCCAAATCTGAATGGCTGAAGTAAAATATGATTGTTTATAATTTCATGTTCAATATGAAATATAGAGTTACATGATTTTGTGGTTATAGTATTTGTTAGGTTCCGTTCCAATTTGTTTTTTCATCTTTAGGTATACTTTGAAACAGCGTTAGACGTTATTTGAATAAATGTTTTTCAAGATAACAAATAATAGATAAATTTTTATTGATTATTTGTTAATGTTGACTTTTGAACACATGATTTATTTGTTATTCGTTATTTATAGATAACTTGAATTATCTATTATTCTTTATTTAAGACAAAAGTTTCATTTAAATAACTTTTTTGCAACTTTATGGATTTCTTCGACATAAGGGTTCACCATTACGTTGTAGGAGGCGCTTTTAATAAAAATACTGCCAGATTTATGATTGCTCAATCGTGCATCAAGTGTTTGATACTTTTTGGATTTCTTCGATGTAAGGGTCTACTAAAATATTGTCGGGGCACTATTTATAAAAATACTGCCAGATTTATGATTGCTCAATCGTGCATCAAGTGTTTGATACTTTTCAGATTTTTTCGATATAAGGGTCCCCTATTATGTTGTCAGAGGTGATTTTTATTAAAAATATAATTGTGCATCGAATATTTGTAACTTATTGGGTTCCTTCAATCCATTATTCAATTTTCAGATTCTCAGTTTATGAATGTGTGGCGGCAGTGGGTATTCTTAAATAAGAAATATTAAAAAAAAATATAAAAAGGAGAAAATAAATACCGAATAGCAGTTGATATACATATATATATAATGTTAAAAATAAATAAATTAAATAATACATGCCATAAAACAGGAACTAAAATTTCTCTTAATACAAAATAAAAATAATGCAAGAAACAAAAAAAAAAATACCTTAAACCATTAAATATAAACAAAAGGATTCTTAGAACTGTAAATTAAATTTACAACTTTTATGGATGTCCCCGCTTGGGAACAAACAAGGAGGTATATATATTAAATGTACTGTGATCTGTCTATCGCCTAATTTGCTCGAGTGTAGCGAATTAAATGGTTATGACACGTCCTAAGAATGGATGAAGCGAGGACAGCAAGAAGGCTTTATCATGAGAAGCCAGAGGGAGTTAGGTCTAGGGGAAGACCAAAGGCAAGATGGATAGACAACGCAAAAGAACCTCTGTTCAGCATTCCAAGGACTGCTACATGCGTCTGTTGTGCCAATAATGAATGAATGGATGAATTATAATTAATTATTATAATAAAATAAAAATGAAATTAATCTAATTGTGAAATTAATTATAATTTAAAATGATAAATTCAAATTATGTTTTTTTATTTATAAATTTAAAAAAATGAAATAACCATTCTTGAACTAGGGACCTTCATTATATGAGAACAGTATGCTAGTCACTAGTCTATCGCTATCCTTACTGAGTGGTCATGAACTGTTGTATAAGAGTTCTACCTGAATGTGAGGTATATGAGAAACTTAATGCTTTTAAGTCTATTATTGAAACTAAAACCCAGGGGATCAGGAATGTCTTTAAAAGGGGCCCACTCACCTCCAAAAATCACCTATTGATGAACGGGGTCGGTCTCAATGCTCAATTTTGTGTTTTCATCTGTTGCAGCAATCGAATATTCTCCTGGAAGATTCTGCGATGTCTCACATGTGGGTAAGAAATAAAATAAAGTGCACTAGCACCACTACATGTGCAAAAAAAAAAAAACAACAAAAAAAACAGAGCTCTAGTAAAGATTCTTGATAAGGACGTAAACTGGACTAGTCCGCTTGGTATTAAGGCTGGGTGCCCGATTAATCATTTAATATACTTATCTAAGCATATACTATTTATTTACAATATTAAATATACCTCTATAGACTCACACACACACACACACACATATATATATATATATATATATATATATATATATATATATATATATATATATATATATATATATATATATAAAGATTTACATGGTGTGTAATGCCAACAGCAAAAAAAAAAAAAAAAATATATATATATATATATATATATATATATATGATATTATAATGTTTTTTTATAATTCGACCTTTATATATTATAACTTAAGATATGAATTACAGTCGAATAAAATTATGGTCATGAAATACACTTAAATCTCTTAAAACAACTTCTGTTTATTCCTTTTATTCAAAAACGTTTCGATCCCTGTTTTTATCATAAATAATAGGATCCTCTTCAGTTCTGGAAAAGCAATACTTATCATTGGTATAACAATCAAAAGTTTTCATACATTTCAACAATAATACCAAATTTTTCTTGCTTTTAATTGAGCATCGATACCCATAGCCGGGCAGCACGCTAACAGACCCAACAGTACTGCCACAAGGACATCAAGCTGCTGAGGGTCGCAACGCGCACCTGTATATATATAATAATAATAATAATAAGGTTTTTTCACCAGCTTCAGCAGACTGAAATAGATAAATCTTTATCTGTTAGCTGGCTGGTAGGAGGAAGTCTGTTCCCCGAGACTGAAGGTTTTTTAACTGCAATCCAGGACCAGGTTATAGCTACCAGATCCTACTGGTGATGATGAAGCAACAGAATGTATCGGACAAATGTAGGCTCTGTGCAAGCACATATGAATCCATTCAACACATAACTGGAGGCTCCGGAGCTCTTGCAGGTACAGAATACCTAAAAAGACATGACGATGTTGCTAAAGTCTATCACCAGGGGATTGGTCTAAAAATTAAATTATTAAACGACTCGATGCCCTACTATAAATATTGCCCTAAAGGTATTTGCCAGAAAGATGGCTTAAAATTATATTGTAATCAATCGTTTATAACAGACCATCTCGTGATCCACAACAGACCTGATATTGTGTTAATTGACGGCAATAGTAAGGTGGCTGAAATTATAGATATTGCTGTGCCAAATGACGGAAACATTAACTCAGTCTGTGCAGAAAAAATTCGGAAATATCAAGGTCTAGCAGCTGAGTTAAAAAGTTTGTATAAACTTAATAAAGTAACCATTAGGGGCATTGTGATCTCCAGCAATGGCCTGATACCGGTGTCTACTGTGGAAGCTATGGACAGGCTGGGCCTCCCAACTCATGTAATAAATGAAGCTCAGAAAGCGGTGCTGCTGAATATTGCCAGAATTGTAAGAAGCTTTCTCAACATTCAATAGTAATTAAAATTGAACATACTTGAGGTGGTTGGAGTTGATTCCCCCCCTCTCAAGTAAACAAAAAAAAAACCTTTTGTAAAAGTGTTGACAAATAAAATAATAATAATGCTTTATTTATTCTGGGATGAGTCCCTTTAGAATAATACAGAGAGACAAAAATGTGGGCTAAGGAGCCGCAGAGATACATAAAGAAGAATATAGTATGATTAAATAGTCAAAAAAAAAAAAAAATAGATAAATGAAAAAAAAATAATAAGAGAAATTATAAGTTACTTTCTAATTTTAAAGGTATGAAGGGTTTTGGATTGACGGATGTGGGGAGGGATGGAGTTCCATAGGGAAGAGGATCGAATAATAAAAGATTTATCAAAAGCAGTGGTTCGGTGAGCCATCATATATAAATCTGAAGACCGGGAACGGGTATTGCGGGAGTGGACAGAGGATTTAAATTGAAGGAGCTCGGCGATGTATGAAGGATGGCGGGAGTGAATTAGTTGGAAGAGGAAGGATGCCAGGAAATACTTACGGCGGTAGGAAGGATAAAGCCACTTCCACTCTTCATAGAAACAGGTAACAGGGGCGTCTCTTGGGATCCCGAACATGAATCGTGCAAAGCAATTTATCAAACGTTTTAGTTTCGCCTCAAGATCCCCAGAGACGCCTCCATATACTGTGCAGCAATAGTCGAAGTGGGGAAATATTAAGGAGGTGACCACGAGTCTACGGATTTCAAAAGGAAAAAGGTGTCGCAGGCTATTTAAGTGTTTTAGGGTGGAAAAGGTATGTCGGCAGATATTGGACACATGGTTTTTCCAGGAAAGGGTTTGATCAAAGATTATTCCAAGGTTTTTGATGGTGGGATAAAATTTGATGGGATTATCATGTAGGAACAGGGTTGGAAAGTTAGGAACAGTTTTGAGGAGGTGATTGGAGCCTATTAGGATTGCCTTGGTCTTTTCCGCATTCAACTTCAGCTTGTTAGCTCCTGCCCAGTCATATATTCTATTTAAATCTTCTTAAAACTTTCTTGTGGCTGGTAATAGGTCAGAAGGGGGGAAGGACAGGTATATTTGGAAATCGTCAGTATAGATGTGGTATTGGGATTGATGGATAGGAGGGGAAGGTCATTAATGTAAATAGCAAACAGAGTAGGAGACAAGGAGGAACCCTGAGGAACACCACAGGAGAGGGGAAGTGTCTTTGAAGGAAGTTGATCTGGGACGACTACATACTGGGATCGATCGGAAAGGAAGGATTTGAACCAACGTAGGACATTGTTGGATAAAGGAAGATTTTGCAATTTGGTAAGAAGAATGTTATGGTCAACTGTATCAAACGCTTTGGAAAAATCTAGAAGGATGAGGATAGTTAAGTTTTGGTGTTCAATGGAGTTTTGGAGATCATGGATTATTTTAAGCAGGGCAGATTGTGTTGGATAGCCATTTCGGAAGCCAGATTGGAATGGATTGATGAGGGAACATTCTACTAGGAAGTTGGAAAGTTGATTTTGGACTTAGTGTTCCAGTGGTTTTGAGAGGTCGGAAAGAAGAGAAATAGGACGGAAGTTGTTCTGTGAGGAAGGGTTAGATGTTTTACTCAAAGGTCGGACTAGTGCAGTTTTCCAGGAAGAGGGAAATATGGAATTTTGCAATGAAAAGTTGTAGATATGACAAAGTACTGGAATAAGGGTAGGAAGGCTGGATTTTATTAGTTTTACTGGAATATTGTCAGGACCATAATCATTGGTGTGGGATTTGAGGATAGTGGAAAGTACTTCGTCGTAGGACACATGGGAAAAAAAGAAGTTTTCAGGATTGAAATTGTGGTGTTCAATATCATGAGTAGAAGGATTAGAAGCAAAAGATAGGAAATGGTCATTGAGGTCATCTGGAGTCACAGGGAGGGAAATGAGGTTATTGGAATCTGGTAGGGATAGATTACGAAGTATTTTCCATTTTGATTTGGGATCGGGAGCATTGGAAAGGGCATTATGAAAGTAGTTGGATTTAGCAAGTTGGATTGTGGATTGGGTTGCATTACGAAGTTGTTGTTTTGGTTACAATAAATTAAAAAGAAAAAACATTCAGTCAAATGAAATTCCAGCTCTTTAAAACGATTATGAAGAAGGTAGCTTACAAAAATAAAAATAAAAGTATTTTTGATAGGAAAGACTAAAATTGATTCAAATTTTGGGAGACTTACATACAAAATTCATATAAAAATGTCCGAGTCGCTAGCTTTCCCTATAACTACCGCCGGACATCCATCTGATTGTCTGCATCGAATTTTACCACCACTGGAGGAATATATATATATATATATATATATATATATATATATATATATATACACAATTATTTACACAATATGTATATTTTTTACTGTTGCCCCCAACAGAATGTATTACCTGTTTTAAAATTATGCATGTTAAATCTGACAGGATTTTCATAAAAAGCACACCCGACATTATAATGGTGGACCCTTGTATTGAATAAGTGCGATTGTATCAAAATGTTGATGCACAATTGTGCAATATTAAATCTGACAGTATTTTCATTAAAAGCATTCCCGGCAACGTGATAGTGGTCCCTTACATTGAAGATAAAGTTATAAATATTCTATACACAATTGTGCAATATTAAATCTGACAGTATTTAAAAAAAAAAAAACGACCGACAACATTTTAGTGGATCCTTACATGAAAGAAATCCGAAAAGTATCAAAAACTCGAGGCACAATTGTGCAATCTTAAATCTGACAGTAGTTTTATAAAAAATTTTCTTGACAGCATAATAGTGGACCCTTATATAGTAGTAACCTGTATTGAATTTGCACTCTGGAAATGTAATTCTAGTAATTTCATTGTATAATTTTATATGTAATGGAAATTAATCCATTAAATTGTTTTACAGGATGCAGTATCTAGTTATGAAAAATTATCTGCCTCTCTTAACAGTACTGAATGCTCACGTGCATTAATCCAAGCCTATCTTAGTATGAATAAGCCCCAAATTGCCAAAGATCTTTGCTATGGTGTTCTTCAACAAAAGTATAAATTTTATTACTACTTTATTTTAATGGTCTTAATATATACATTACACTTTTTTCCATAGTCCTATAATTTTTCTCCCTGTTTAAGGATACCTAAATAATATTTAAGTAACATTAACAATGCATTGTTTTTTTTATATAGCCGTTATGTATTACCAACGCTATGCAATGAACAAGCTGAAGTACTGCTGAGGAATTTTCAGTTTGATGAAGTAAATGATCTGTTGAAAATGTTCAATGATGATATAAAGAATAATTGGTGTTGGGGTGTAGATCTAGCAATTATGCAAGGAGATCTATTTTCATGGAGGGCCCAAAAAATGGAAGACAAAATTCATTGTGTTCGACAGCACATTGTGGAAAATTTATCAGCTATAAGTAATACTACCCTTGGGGCTTACAGACAAGGGTTCAACCATATACTAAAGTAATTGACATAATAGTATTATTTTATTGTAATAATAGTATTATATTATTTTATTGGCTAATCCATTAAAGAAATTTTGACTGAAATTCCTGACAATTTTGGTTCATCATTTCAAATAATTTAATAATAATATTTTTTGTTCATGAATTTTTATTTCACGTAATTAAGGTAAAGGGACCAAGGTAAATAAACAATGCATGAAGTTATTATAAAATGACAGGTGTTACCTACATGTTTTTTGTTTATAAAGATTTAAATGTTTTAATAACAACCATTCTTGGATTTCCATTTTTTTTTTTGCTTGGAATTACTAGTTCTAATAACATTCTTTCCTTTTTTTATAATTTTAATTTTGCCAAATGTCCCCATCTTTAAATATGAAATAAAAATGTTTGAGGCTCTGATGTATTAAATTTTTATAAAAATTTTCAGCTTTATATTTCTTTCTTTTTCTGAAACAGGTCGATGCTTTATATTTAAATTTAATTATATTTTTATTTTCAATTACAAAAGAAATTCTTATAAACCACATCTATTCTTTATAACAAAACCATCTTTTGGTTTAAATTTAATTCATAGTTATGCATACACTTGTTAGCTTGTTTTGGGAAGCTTTTAAACGTGTTTATTTTTTTCCAACAGACTCCAAGAATTAGATGAACTTGAAAAATTTGCACGGCTATTTAAAATTCTTCATCAGCCAGATGTTTGTATTAGAGACATAAACAATTTTTTTGATGGTATTGACACAGATTTGACCCTTGATTTATTACCAGTTCATGGATATCATACGGAAAGTGCTTTAAACCGATGGCAACACATATTATTAGCCATACAACGTTTTGTTAAACCTTTAGCCCTTGAGTTTGATGAAATAATTAGAAATCAGCTCGGAAAAATATATTTGAAAGCTGTAAAAATTGCTAGAAAGTAAGTATTACTTTTGCTTTACTAAGATTATTTTAATGTAAGTAATCAAATGTAATATTTTTTTAGGTGAATAATGCATCAGTTTCACTTAAATAGTAAAAATTGTTTGAAATTTTTCAAAAATATTTTTTATTACCACAGTAACTAGGTGTTTTTTGCTAGCAATACTTTTTTAGCATTTTTCTCATCTAAAAATATTAGAAACTTGTTTTTATATTGGAATGTTTTCTCATAGTAATGTTATTCTGTCTAAAATACAAATTTAAACAGTTACAATACAGTATAAATGTTAACAAACATAATGAAAATTTCTTGTATATCAATAATTTGTCTTCAATTGAAAGTTGAAATTTTCTAGTCAGTAATTTGTATAATTGGCCGTATCTTATGTTAAGTTCTTGTCCTTTAAGTCTAGTATGTGGGTTCGAAGTTAGTCTTCGGTCTAAGAGAAAGCCAAGATACCGAAATGTGTTTGAAATAGGAAGCTGGATGGAATTAAAGTGAACTGGTGGACAGGATCTGCGCTAGAGCCTGAAGGTAATGTGTTTGCATTCGGATTCGTTTACTTTGATGTGCCATTTATTACACCAGTGCTCAATCTGGAGAGATGTCTTTGGAGGTTTAAGGATGCTATTTCGGGATCTGAGTTGGATGATAGGATGGTGATGTGATCAGCAAATGTTGCCAGGAAGGACAGGGATATCAGCGGTAAAAAGGATATAAAGGATTGAGCTCAAGATGCTACCTTGAGGAACACCGGCTTCAACTAGGTAGGAATTGGAAAATTCTGTACTACAGCGAACTCGAAAGGTGCGATCAGATAGGGGATTTACAAAGAGAAAGTTTTTGCAGGTGATGTTTGACCTCAGAAGGATTAACCTCTTTAGTGATTAAGGAAAGTGGAATGGGTGACGTGAGGAATTCTTCTACTGTTGTGGTATGGGTGTGGTTGGATTCCGTATGAGAAGTGAATGTTCTGGAGAGGTGTCTGGCGAATTCCTCAACTTTCTCTTCATCAGACACTGTCCAGGAGACATCACATTGACGGAGGGGAAGGGAAATATGAATTGTAAATATGAATGAAGGGGAATTGTAACTAACAGAGAGGGAAGTAAGGTAATAGTTGAAGGATTGAGATTTGAAGATGGCCCATTCCTGCTTTGATCGTTTACTTTAATAATTATAGGAGCGACGATCGGTGCGGTTTCTTGAACGTTGCCATAATATTCTGGCACGGCGTTTGATGTGAATTAGGTCTATCAGGTATTGAGGTAAATTATTTTTCTTAGGAATTTTTTAGGAGAGATTTGGGGAGGAAGCAGTCCATATTGCTTGTTGAATAGTGGTGGTAAAGGAATGTACGGCATTATCAAGGTCTTCTGGGATTTTCAGGGATATTCTGAGGTCAATTTTATCGGAAAGGATTTGTTGAAAGAGTTTCCAGTTAACTGGGCCTCTGATGAAGGACATTGGAGGAGGTTTAGGAATAGGAGCTATTGATAATTGCAGTATTAATGGACTATGATCTGATGAAAGTTCGTCAAGATGGGTAAGGAAATGACTGAGGGGACCTAAACCACTGTGGATGAAAAAATCAAGGAAAAAAAAGGCTGATATGCTGAAATATAGGTTTATCTATCTTTTATTGGTCAATATTTGTGTATAGGCTGATGCGTAGATGGTCTATTTATTCTTTTATTTAGCAATAAGTAGGATATTCCATGTGAAACTGCAAAAATCTTGACGAAACAGCGAAAAAAAGTCCAATATATCGGCCTTTGTAATATTGGTATCGTCAAAATTTCCATATCGGTCGATCCCTAAACATAACAGATATGTTATGTTATGCTTAGTCGTCAGATCTGGTCGTTAAAATATGGTGGCAATGATCTGTGGGAGGAAATTAATGACTTAATTTGGGAGATATGGATGAATGAAAAAATATCTGAAAAATTGGACAAGAGCAGCAATATGTCTCATACACAAGCAAGGAGACAAGATAGTATGTGTAAAGTATAGAGGTATTGCTCTATTAAGTACAATCTATAAAATATTGGCAGTTCTCCTTCTTAAAAGACTGACCAATTTCACTGAAAAAATCATATGAGATTATGAGGGATGCTTTAGGCCTGGAAAATCATAAGTTGACCAGTTATTTTCTCTAAGACAGGCTATGGAGAAGTATATGAATTTAACATAGACATGCACCTTATCTTTGTTGATTGCATACAGGCCTATGATAGTTTAGCAGAGAAGGACATTTGAAATCTGTGGTGAATGTAGGTATGTCCAAGAAACTGGTCAGATTAACAAAAATAACGCTAATGAAGACTACTTGTCTAGTGAAACTTGGGAATTGGCTGTCTGAAGAATTTGAGGTATATATATATATATATAATAGCTTGAGACAGGATGATCCTCTATCTCCCCTTCTTTTTAATCTAGGCCTGGAAGTGACTATTAGTTCCATTCTAACAAATCTAGGAGGAACCATCCACAATTGTCTTTTTCAACATCCGGCATATACCAGTGATGTCGTTATTATCTCTAGAACCCAAGCAGCATTATCTGGAACTTTCCAGGAATTCGAAGAAGCGGGGCGTCTAAACTGGGCATTAGAGTTAATGAAAATAAGACGGTGTGCATGAAAAGTTCAAGAAGAGAAAAAGAAGTGAACTCGGGAATAACTTTAGGAGATCACAACTTTAGGTCTGTTAACCAGATCAATTGTTAATGAAATAGAGAATAAAATAAAGGCCAGAATAGCAACAGGAAATAGATGTTATTTCTCACTAAAAAGAGACTTGCAATTTACTTAGATCACTCTCTAAAATAATGAAAATTCTCATCAGAAGAATATGGGGTGGAATCGCTGAGAATAGAATTTGGAGAAGAAGAAATGAGGAACTGCGTAAACTGTATAGAGAACCTGATATTGAGGCTTTGATGAAAAGAGCTCGGATAAGATGGATAGGTCATGTGGAAAGAATGCCCCAAAGATGATGATTGACCCAGTTTCTTGGAGATATTAACAAAACCTGGAACAACTTTAAAAGGACATTTTAGACAATAATTAAGTTTTAAATGTGCAATTTAAATATTTGTTTATATAATAAGCTACTTTAGACATTTAAATGTTATATCGACAACCACACTGCAAAACCCTGTAAGGACAATTTTTTTGGAAAATGAGGTTTTGAGCTTTTCTGATCAATCTTGTATTGGTTCATATTCTGATCCAACAAAATAAAATATATGATGTTTCAATTCTTCTCTATTGCCTTTTGTTAAAACCTATAAGATATAAATGTGCAAATTGTGAAGTAAAGAAGTTGAGTAAAGTTAGAGAGATTGTGTCATTACCGAAAAACTGTAATGAAATGCTCAATGAGAGTTGGCCATGTAAATATAGAATGTATAAAGTATTTTACACATAGACTAAAGTATCAAAAATGATTATTGGATTACCTTCCATTTAACGATATAATTATCACCTGAGAAAGAGTGTAATTCATAAGACATAAAAAGAAATAGAAGAGATAGGCATGGTAGAGTGGAAATCTTTCTCCATAATTCTTTACTTTATGAAATCATAGAGTTACCTAATTTGGGAACAATTGAAGCAGTAAGGTTAAAACTTCTTAACACAACAGTACTTCCTATCATCCTAGTTTCAGTGTAAGGAATACAATAGAAGGTGAACCTTCATTTCAAAACCTTTTTGATCTGCGTGACAAGTTTCCAAATTGTCCGCTACTTCTATTGAATGAAACAAGAATAATTATTAAATTAGGAAACTATGTATCAAGAACTTCAATAATAGATCTCACATTCCTCACAGCCAATCTCTATCATAACCTTAGCTGGGCAGTAATTCCAAAAACTCTTAAGGAGTGATCATTTACAAATAATAATCGAAATAAACAACTGCAGAATTCATGGATTACCTCCCATTTAACGATATAATTATTACCTGAGATAGAGTGTAATTCATAGGACATAAAAAGAAATAGACGAGATAGGTATGGTAGAGTGGAAATCTTTCTCCATAATTCTTTACTTTATGAAATCATAGAGTTACCTAATTTGGGAGCAATTGAAGCAGTAGGTTAAAACTTCTTAACACAACAGTACTTCCTATCATCCTAGTTTCAGTGTAAGGAATACAATAGAAGGCGAACTTCATTTCAAAACCTTTTTGATCTGCGTGACAAGTTTCCAAATTGTAGTGTGCTCTTAGGAGGGGATTTTAACATGCTCTCCTCATATTTTGGTGCTAAGAAATATGACACACCCAGAGAAGATGATCTATTCTGGTAATAGAAAATGGTCCGCTACTTCTATTGAATGAATAGAATAGAATATAATTGAATTTATTTGTTAAAGATTATTTTACAATCTTGTACAAATGATACATATATGAATAACTTTATTTCACCTACATGAGTCTAGTTTATCCTAACTGTACATTGACTTATTATAAAAACAATAACTAAACAATAATACTTCATTACATTCCAATTAATTTCTATCTACATTATCAATAAAACCAAAAAATAAAAAGAAACAAACAATTAATTGAACTGACCAACAATTATCCTTAGTCATAGCACTTGGTTGGTGTGTGGAACATCAGAGCTTAAGGAATCCAGTGAATTGCACGCTGACATTATGAACCAGTAAATTTTATTAAGTTTCTCTATGTTATCGTTTCTAAGTATGTCTTGTATCTTGTTTATATCACTTGGCGCAGAGAGAAATGCTCGTAAATGTTTGTGTCTGTCGTCTGTTAGCTTTTCACAGTGCAGAAGGATATGGAACAGGCTGTTAGTAATGAATTGGTTACAGAAAGTGCAGGTTTCCTGGGCTTTGAAGTAGAAACTTTTGTTTTTCGTATAGAGCTTAATTAATTCCGGATTTGAAACCCTTAAGTGACTTACTGATCTTAGCTTTTTCATGTTAGCTCTATACATCAAATAGGACTCTGGGCTGGAAATATT